CATGAGAAGACACACACCATCTCTTCAAGGTGAGTCCCTCACCTTAGGAAGTGTATGTTTGCTGGTGCGTTTTATACCCTGCTGCTACTTGGGCCTTAGCAGCCCTGATTCATATTTTGAAGGCTATGGATATCTAATCCCAATTTTGTTGAACATCAAGTTCATTGATTTGTCATTCTTCTTGAGGCTTTTGTGGGATTTAAAGGAGGAGAAACAGAAAGATGCTAAACCTATGTCACCATCCTCAAAGCAGAAGTCCTTAAGGTTAGAATTTAATTCCGCAGCCCAAGTAGTGACTTTAGCCAAGTGCATGGAAAGCAATTTTCCCATGGTGTTAATTACAGAGTACTTTTCATCTTTAAGGTGCTTGGGCAACACTTACCAATTACTCCTTCCAATACCTTGGAGGAATTAAAAATAGAAGCCTCATATTTAATTTGGCTAAAGGAGATAATTACCAATATTAGCAGACAAGAACTACCTTGAGGGACTGGAGATGAATAATTAAATCACGGTAGAAATATTTCAAGGCATGACTGTCTCCTGCTTTCATCGGAGTAAAGAAATTAAAGCTTCATTAGGAAGCAAATCTTATTTCCATTTTACAGGTGAAGAAACAGATGCAGACAAGAAGCTTCTTGTTCAGGCAAAAATTGATTAGTCAATAGTCTAAACTGAAGTTAGTGTGAGAATTGTATAAAACCCACAGTATTAAGAATTCGAAAATCCTAAATCCACTTTCTTTTCTGTTAAAAAAAAAAATCTGCTGATGACAGGTATCCCCAGGTGCCCATTTCAAATATCAGTAACCATTGTCCACTGTGGTGGTTACAAGGCTTAGGTTAGTGGTTCTCAAACTTTTAGTCTTAGGACCCTTTTTTATAAATTGATTTTATTTATTTATTTATTTAATAAATTGATTTAAAAATAACAATAGTAAATCCATGATATGTTAACATACATGACATGATTTTATGAAAAACAACATTTTCTAAAATTTAAAAAAGTAGTGAGAAGAGTGGCATTGTTTTATATTTTGAAAATCTCTTGAAGATTTGGCTGGATAGACGTAGCTGGGTTCTCACATCTGCTTCTATATTCAATCTGTTGTTAGATGTTCTTTTGGTTGAAATATACAGAGATAATTTAGCTGCACACAGATATGTAGTTGAGGAAAAAAAGAGAATTTTAATAACCCTTTTAGATCTTTGTGGCTATTCTTTGATTCTACACTAAAATTTAGCAAGTAGTAATTCCTTAAAACTCAGTTACAAAGTAGAAAATGAAACCATATCAATGAACTTTTCATACTGTTACATTAAAAATTATTGGCCTACATTGTATTTTGACTGGCTTTTTTAATATGCATGATTTTGTAATGTTATGCATTGGTTGCCTGGGTAGTGTTGGTTCATTGCATTATGCAGATATTCAAATGTCGACAACATTATACAACATCAAAAAAAAATCAGTTTATTTTGCCTCCATTCTCATCAGAAAAATCTCTATTACTATCAAGCTCACGGTGGTGGATACAATTTTTCTCTAATTTTTTCTTTAAAATCTCTAATTTTATCATTGGCAACAAACATTCCAGTTAAGGCAGGCTTACTTCATTTGTTTTCAAGAAATTGAATGCCAAATATGCATGTCTGAATATTGATATTTGCCGGTAAGTTGTTCTTCCAAGTAAAAACAGTGCTCTGTAAAAAACAGATAGTTCAGTTCTTAAATATTGAAAGCCCCAACCCAGTTGTGACATGTGAAACATGTCATTTCTGCTCACATTTAATTGGTAAGATCTATTCCTTCAGCCACCTTGATATAAGGGATGCTGGAGAAGGGATGCTAGGATATTTAGTCCCTGGCAGGGCAGGCACCACTTCTGCCACAGAAACATCCCCCACTCTGTCCTCTTTCTCCACTACACTTTTTCCATACTGTGCCCTCTGCCTCAGCTCACCTTTCTCTGTCGCCAGCCTAGTTTTCTTCTACTATCAGCTCAGGTGTCACTTCCTTCAGGAATTTTATCCTGATAGATAGGTATTCTTGTTCTGTGCTCCCATAACACACTTTATTACCCTGTGATAGCAGCTATCATTTACCATATAGCTGATTAGCTTTTCCCCTCTAGGCTATAAAAATGACAAGGGCTGACACAAGTCTGTTTTGTTCATTTTTGTATTCCCATCACATGATATATAATAGATCCTTAATACAAATGAACTAATGTGAACAAGGCTAAGCCATTATTTAAGAGAAAAGTTTAAACTATGCTACTTGTAAAACTTCAGGCTCACCCTAATTTCTTTTGCTGTGGATGTTTTTAAGTTATTTTCTCCTAGAAATACTGTCCCTGCTAATAGTACCTTCAAGTTATTTTCTCCATAAAATAGTGTGTATATTAGATAAAAATTATCCAGAGAAAACTCCATAATCATATTTCCTCCCTTAACCCACAACTATGTATATTCTCTAGTGATTCACACTTGGCCACAGTCTCCTGGTCTCTTTCCTGGAATAGTCTTAACATAGGGAAAGCCAACCTTAAGAGCTGATCTGATGCCATGTTAAATATACCTGATTTAGAATATGGATTGATTTTGGCTTTTAGAGAAACCAGATAACTTTTCCCCATCTTGTCTTTCTATTCTATCTTATTATTTTTTTATTGTATTGTATTGTATTGTATTTATTTTTGTCTGCCACATTTTATATCAAAACAAAATAACAGTGCTACACATTAGAATCATATGAAGAGCTTTAAAAAATTTCAATGCCCAGGTCTTACTCCATAATAACTAAAGCAGAATGTCTGGGGGTAGAAGCCAGGTTATCAGTGGTTTCTAAATATCCTCAGATGATTCTAACGTGCAACAAAGTTTGGAAACCACTTGTATGGTAGATTTTAACTTCAGTTCTGACACATACCAACTGGCCTTGTAAGCTTGGGCATGTAATTTAACTTCTCTGTGGAGTTTAATAATATAAAAGTATCTGCCTTATAGAGTTGTTGTAAGGATGAAATGATTCAAAATAAACAAAGTAATTAGATCCAAGCATAGAACACAGTATGGGCTATGTAATTTTTTTTTTGGGGGGGAGGGGAAGGGTTATTATAGTCTACTTCTTGATGACTGGAGAAATGTCCTAATTCATTATGAGTTAAATTGCTACCATTCCATTCCATCCTTTAGTGTAGCTTGTCTTAATTATGGCCTCCCAGATAGTTTGGAAGTATCATCCTAAGGAGGATAATTGTCCATGGACAGCGCTTTCAGTGATGCAGAAGTAAACAAAGGCTCTGCTCTTCCAGAATTTACATTTTAATGGGTGAGAAAAATAATCAACAAGTCAATATAGAATTTCAGGCAGTGGTCTTTGAAGGCATGCCAATGCAAAAAACTTGACTCTGAATTCACTGTGGTCTCTCCAGGTAGGCATATATTTGGCAGAGGAAGGTCTTTCTATTCCCTAAAAGGAAGTGTAGAGCTTTCCAAAGCGTTAAACTATAAATTGTGGGCAAAAAAAGGGGTTCTATGGAAAGTAACCTCACAGGGTGATCTGATCATAAATTCCTTATGGGCAGGTCTTGGTGGGTATGTAACCGCAGGTATGTAACTTTTTTAGTAAAAGGTTCATCTTTGCCTTAAGCAAGCCCTGTCCATTGTTTTTGTGCACCTAGGTTGACACATCTTTGAAATAAACGTAACCACTGTCAAGAGAACATATCATTTTTAACTATCCTGTAACCCAATCCTGGCCTTGTTTCCTCCCCCTTCATGTAATCTTCCTTACATTCCCTCCTTAATTTCAAAACATAAAAGAAACTGCAAAACTGTCATTCTTCGGAGCATTTGAGATCTTGCTTCCTGGCAATTGTGGCCAGTTTGGCTCAAATAAAAGCTTACACAAATCCTTTACAAGTTTGGATGTTTCTTAAATCAAATTTTTATATATATATATAAATTAAAGGCAGAAGTCTAAGATTTTATTTCCTCATTAACTAATGGGAGACCAGAAAGATGTTAGAATCTGTTTAAAGGAGAACTTCAAGTACCCACTTACATTATTGAATCAGGAATAGGAAATGAATTTACAAAGAGGTGCACAATGGCTTTTTCCAAGGAGGGGGAAGATTCAGTAAGTTCAATGGACAAAAGTGTTTCATCTTACTATCCGTGATCTACAATTTGGAGCTGTTCAGAGCGCCACAAAAAAAGATGGAGTCCCCACAGAATCAGAATAACTGGAAGGTGTGCCTGACTATGGCTGGTTTTTCATTGAAGACACCTATTAATCTTTTGGTCCATTTCAATGTGTTTTACAATTTTTCCCTATAAAAATCACTGATTATCTCTAAACATCCAGAACCTAAGCAGTTCTTCGGCTTTATCTTGCTTGTATTTTCCTTAAGCCTCTCGCCTTTTAGTTAGTTGCCTTTGGCAGGGTCGAGTGCTATCTGTTTAAACCAACGAGGCTTCAGGGTAAGGGGCAAAGGAATCGAAATCTTTCACCCCCCAGGAAATCAGCTTCCGCCCCAGCAGCGAGCAAGGCCCCAGAGAGGGGATTAGCCTCGCCCTGCCCCCACAGGCACCGCCCCGGCCAGCCTAATAATGGGGCTGCGCGCAAAGGTCACGTGAGCAGCCGGTCTTGCGGCACCTCCCAAGCAATACGTGGCAAAGACTTCACTCAGAAAGGTCCTTCGTGCCCGGTTTCTGTCACCTACCCATTCCTCCTCTCCCTTTTCCCAGTAAATGCCTCTTTTCTTGTAGCTCTCGTCTGAGGAACGATAAACTACCAGTCTACCCCCAACCCGACCTACTGCAGGCCTCCAAGCCAGCCTTTGCCCTCACTTAAGAGGTGGAGATCCCTTGGCACTGAGGCGAGTTTCACTTCTGATTGGACGGGACCCCTTGTCAATCTCCGAGTTTTTCCAATCAGGGGCGGAGTCCTCTCGAGGAAGAAGGTTAAGCCGAGGTCGCGCGAGAGCCGCGCTCGGCACTCAGTGCGCAGGTGCGAAGGAGCTGGCTGGGGCCAGGGCCGGGGGCGGGCTTGAAGACGCGTCGTTTGGTTTTGAACACAGTGACAGAGCTGTCTGTCTGGATTCAACCGCTGGGCGAAAAGTCTTTGTCAGGGGCCCGGCCGGCAACGAGGCCCGCGAGATTCCCGATGGTGTCCATGACTTTCAAGCGGAGCCGCAGCGACCGGTTCTACAGCACCCGGTGCTGCGGCTGTTGCCATGTCCGCACCGGGACGATCATCCTGGGGACCTGGTACATGGTAAGGGCGGGCCGGCGGGGCGGGAAGGTAGGGCCGTGGGGGGAATGCGCATGAGCGGGAGATGGGGGTGCCGGGCCTGAGAGGGAGTGCTCGCGGGAGGGGCGAGACTGAAAACGGGGTGTTGGGTGGGGCGGGAAGGCGTAGGCGAGCCTCTTTTTAGGGTGCTCTAACTTTGAGGCAGGAGACTTTGTCCAGGAACCGGAGTGGGGGTGGGTGGGAATGGGGAGATTGTTCCTCGGTAAGAATTAGAGGAGAAAAGCGGGGTCGTTAAAGGCGGTGGC